CAAGAATTTGAAAGAGTGGAAGAAAATAGAGGCAAACTGAGCATTGGGATACATGAAAGGCTCAACTCGCACATAGGTGCGAAGATGGAAGGAGGCTCAAGAACAAGAAGCATCCTGAGCAGAAGCCATAACCTTGTGAGCATTACTTCTTACCCCAAGTCACACAGGCGTGTTCCAGAGGCTGTCGCTTGTTCTTTGGACCAGTAATTATTAATTTTTGTCCTTCACACCATGGGGGTAATCCCAAAAACAGATTTTCTCATCCAATTTTAATGATATATTGATTCTGTCAATACAATCTGTCCAAAATACACCAAAGAGTGTTTCTGCAAGAGGGATAAGTGCCAATTTTGTTTTTGACGGCTGTAGAGGCCAATATGTACCACCTGCCAATCTGGGATGTGTTCACAAGATTTTCTCACTCAAAATTGAAGCTGGTTGATATCCCTCAATACAATATGTTCTTACTACTAAAGGATGTGTTTCTACAAAAGGAATAAGAATTTGGCCATGGTTAGGAGGATGAGAAAATTTTGCACAAAAGTAGTGGTGGCTAAGTGAGCGGCACCATAGATCAGTGGCGGACATTAAGTAGTCCGATTCATCACAGCTCAGAAATAGATACGGTTCATAATTAAATGGACGCGGGTAGGAGGTACTAGTACGTAGGGGGCAAACAGACTATCCGAGTCGGCCAGTGAGAGCCATGATTCCCGACGTTTAGATTCAGACGGCGGTTTGAATCACGGCTGGTCTTACATAAAGAGCGGATGCCCAGGACCGTCCCGGTGGATAACTCTGGGGATGCGCGAAATGCGTGTGGAGTTTCTGCAGGATGGATGGGCGGTCGGTCAATCATGGTTCATGGTTCAAACAGCGCTTGCTCATGGCTCATGGCTTGGCCTCAGCAAGGGCGGCCAAGATCATCTCGGCGCGCTTGACCCTCATCTGCCTTCGCCTCAGCTGTTCCTCAGACGATTCTACCTCGCCTGCGCCTTCGCTAACGGTAACGGCAACGGGAGGCTTCACCGTGTCCGAGTTGGCAGTGTTTTCGGACACGTCATCGAGAACGGATTGGCTTGACTTGGTTAGCATCTGCACGGCAAGCATCATGAGATGGATGGAAGTGGTACAGCCCCAATAAGCACGCTACCTACATCTCTGGTATTTCCTCGGATGTTCGCCACGTATTTGACGCATGAGGGGAAATACATATCCGGGATCTGGTTTTAGAGTACGTCAAGTTACAAAGTGAATGGCCGGCCGCGCGACGAAAGACGAAAGAACGCACGGCCTTGTCGTCCCACAGGTTTCGGACGACCCAGTTCTGTCGCGCTTTGCTGAATTTCCACGAGTCAGGAGACGAAACATGCGTATGTACATATGAGAGCGCTGAAAAACATGTCCGGTCGGTCACTGTCGTGGTTTGCAGAGAGCAAGTTGAACGTGTGGATTCTGACCTTTCAGCGCTGGTGCAGTTAATGCAGCGTCCTTGGTCGGGTCTGGATAAATACCCTGGCGCGAGGATCTTGACGCGTTCTTCCCGAGCATGGGCGTGGAGCCCTCCGTCTGCCCGTGTGTAGGCTCCGAGTGCTTCTCACTGTGCATGCGTTTCCTCCGGCGGGGTGTCTCGTGGTCAGCCGTACCGACCATATCTGTAGCATTTGTCACATCATCAGATTTGTGCTTTCTTTTCCGCTTCAGTGGTGCGATGGTGTTCACGTCATCTTTGTCGATTGGAGCGGCTGGGATGACGTTGGCCCCCATTTACATTCGGAATATGTGGCTTACGGACTCACCAAGTCGATCCGCATGTAATTCTGTTGATGGCTTGCGTTTCTTTGCCTTCTGTGCATTATTTACCGTAGCGTCGTTACGCCGCGGACTATTGCTGGCAGCCTGGTCATTATTGGGCCCGGCATTCTCAATGGAATTTTGACGCATCTCTGCGTTGTATGCGTTGAATATTAAGCTGAATTTGAGAGAACACGGATCCTTACCGCGCTCATCACCAACGCGCTCTTTGCGATGCAGACGCACCTCTGCCTTTCCAGAATTATCTGCATCTGCAATCTGTGGCATTTTTTTCCGCTTTGCATGATCACCCCGAGGTGCATCGTCTGACACATGCACATGATGTTTTGCACCGGTTTCCGAGTGTACCGGCGTGCGCGCTGTTGTCCTGCTTCCCAAGCTCCGATCGTCCTCTATGCCATCTTCTGCGCACAGTCACGGTTGGTCAGTTTCGCGCAGTAAAGCCAGTGGAAAGCATGAAAATATCGGCACTTTTGCTCTCTGTTCGTCGCTTCTTGCGGTCCGGTTTTGCCTCTTCTACGGGCGATGCGATATCAGCCGATTCTTCCACAGGCACGCGCTTCCTCTTGTGTTTCTTGATGTCAAGAGCCATCAAGTACCACCGCTAAGTAAGTATTCTCGCTATAGAGCGCAAGTTCAAAGTCAGGTTGCAGTTGCTCGGCAAAGACCGAGTTGAAACCTTAAATTTCGCTCTAGCCACATCGCACCGACGAGCCCCTCTCATACAATTCTCTTACAGCCATGGTTCGTGCAAATTGGCCCGTAAAAGTATCATAACAGCTTAAAATGTGTCGTTGCAAATAGGATTCCTCAAAAGCTCCCGTAAAACTCGCTAAAGTTATAAAGGTAAATACACATATTATACACACACCTCACCTACTCACTCCAGTCAATTTATTGCCTATCATAGGTGCTGGGCCGCACGGGCTCGCGTGGTGGTGTTACTCAAGTTCGCGTCGAATTCATGGACGATTCGTCGCGGTCCATCATTCGAAATGTGAAGGGCCCCGTCAGGGAGTCCGATATCTTGGCTCTGCTCGAGAGCGAGCGTGAAGCACGGTGAGTGTCTTTCGTGGTTGGTGACACGATTTGGGAATCCCGTCATGCAACCTGGTCGCATTCCTCGCGATGTCTCGTCCGTACGGTAGCTAACAGAGATTTTTTTTTTTTTTTGTAGCCGTCTGCGCTAAAACACCCTTGGGGGTGGATTTTCTCCATTGGAGTTGTTGTTCAGCATGTGAGCACTCCATGTTCCTTGGGTCGTTCGGCCTTCACTCATCTCAATTGTTCATGGCAGGTTTTCTTTCTCTATACCGCAGTAAACTCAATAAAACCATGTTCTACATGCATGACTTTACGGTTGACATGATAAGACGACGTCGCGGGTTTCATCTGGACTCGTGTGCACAACAAGAAAGAAAACTCGGTGTAGTGTTGCCGGTTTTGTGTGATTAATCATCGTTTATTGTTCTACACTCGAACACAGGTCTCGATCCTACGACGTTGGTGCCTCTGTCACATCGATCACCTCCTTTAGTTTTGTTTCAGATAATATCTCGAACCCAACCGCGGGGGTAACCTTGGGATATGGCTTTAGTATTAGTGCAAATTGAGAACTTAAGAAGGCAGACCTGGGCGAGCTGGACGTTGTGCTGGTCGAGCTTTTCCTCCATCACTTGCTTTAACACACGCAACGCGAGACTTTGGGCCTCGGCCAAAGTCATTTGCTGCAAATTGTATAAGCCACCTCGGCGCCTGCCAGAGATTGGAAAACATACTTTATGCCACTTGTCCTGCAACTCGGCTTGAGCAGCCTCACTGCCGCTTCCGATCGCCTTCGCTTCATAACGCATGAAAGTCCCGGAAGGGTCGGTGTGGTATCTGTGAGGCATTAATGTCAACTCTCTTCAAGGGTGTTCAACGCAGGGTGTTTACAGTTGCGGTCCAAGCTCGTCAATTCCACCGATGAGGAGGGCAACACCAAAGGGACGACTCTGCATGGAAATGTTTGGTACGGATTGCTCGATGGAGAGTTCAAAGAGCATACCATCATTGCATCTTCGTCATGAACACTCTCGCCGAACCGGAGTGCGAGGTCACAAACGGCCTGAGTGACAGACTCGACCTGATTCGAGGCAAGTATTAACGGCTGAGCCACCTCAATCCAAACCCATGTACCTTGATACGTTCGTCGTAGGTGAAAGCGTGATTTTGTGCTGTCACTCGTGCATGGTCGATCATCGTCCGCGCATCGGCGGTCAATCCTTTGCAACACCACACAGAAACAACATTAGGTTCTGCAGGGACGCTGTCATCCGCCAAGGTAACTAACCACTCATTGCACATCCCAAATGCGAGTCGATCTCCATGATCTTCTCTATTGAGCTCGACTCGAGCAGAGGCGACTGCACGCGTTTCTCGACGCCAAGAACGACGCCCTCCGGAGTACGGATGCCAACAGTCGTAGAGCCGAGCTGAGTTATCATCATTGTGTCTAGTAGCTGTAGCATCCCATTCGTGACAGCATGTGTACCTTGATGGCTTCAATAGCGTATTCGACTATCCAGCACAGAATGAATCAGATGCATGGTATAACAGTGCTTGTGGTGTTCACCTTGAAACAGTCGACCCTCTGGCGAAAAAGTGTTTACGCCACGGTCTACATTTCACAAGACAGTCGTGTAAGCACCACAGAAGCATAAGCTGCACGCAACGGAATGCTATACGCGCCGTATTCTGAACGTGTAAGGAACATGCTGCGAGAAGGATAAGGTGCAAGAGTACGTATACAAGAGGAGGTTGTAGGACTTTGGACGGGACGCGTATGCTGGACGCGTGGCTAGGGAGCTTACATAAACCTTGTCGATTTCGTTCAAAAATGTTTTTCACAGGAAGTACTACGTCTACAGCATTTTTACGGTACCTTACTCTGTTTGCGCAACCTCGTTCGTTACGGTGCCCATACCACTCAGCTCTACAACAGGGCAATAAGTACATTTAGCACTGTAGCGGCTTGCAAGTATCATTTGCAGATTGAACGAATAGATCCAAGGGATCCAAAAGTGAGTGGCTGAGACAGAGCCAGCTCGCGCTCATAAGGAACCAAATAAGGTTTACTTATAATTCCCGTTGCTCATTTCTGAAATGTTCGACCAGAGAGAGGACATCAAAGTCATAAAAATGAATGTCCGTAGCAGGTTTCGAACCTGCGACCTTTTGTGAACAATTGCATGTAAGACAAACGATCTAAACCACTGATCTATACGGACTCGAAAGCCAGGAGTCTTTTCTCAATCTGTGTGGAGAGTGGTGTTATGCGCCACCGCGCGGTGACATTTCAGTCACCACATCCGAACGCCAAGCCGTGGAACCTTCATACGCTCTGCTAAATGTCAATATGGCTCCTTCCAAAAGCACAAGGCCCACTGTCTCGTCCAGAAAGTCCAAATCTAAGCTCAGCAAGCTTACATTAGACTCGTTTCCCTCCAATGCGCGACGTTCAACACCGGATTCTGGCCCGTCGCCCTTAGATGTGCCCGTAAAAAAGGTCATGAAACCCTTAAAATCTGTGCGGGAATTTTCATGTTACTTTTCCACAATTTAGCACTCATTCATGAACTAGCTTGCGGAGCCACCCACTTTCCAGCTTCACGGGAAAGGCAAAGAAAAGCTACTCGTCTCATCTCAAACGACAAGTAGTACCGACGCGACTGCTGATGGTACGGAACACGACTTGAACGTGTGGTTCCACACCTTTGCTTACCAGGACCTCTGATAGAATCTGAACTATGGGTGAACAGTTATGCACCTAAAACGGAGGTGCGGGTTTACGGGCGTCTCTTAGTAGCTAGTAATCTGTTTATCAGACAGAGCTCGCCGTTCACAAGAGAAAAGTAGAAGACGTACGCCATTGGCTCCTTGAAGCGTTCGAGGGGGGCCCGACAGGTGCCCTGAAAAGGTATCGGGTAAGAAATGCACCACTGGGACTTAAGAAATTTTTGATAACTTTTTTGCAGCGAATCTTGGCATTGACAGGGAATGCCGGCACTGGAAAAACAGCAACACTGCAGGTGCTAGCGCGAGAGATGAACTTTGAGATTTTGGAATGGCGAAATTCACCTGATGACAATTTCGCGTGGGATGGCAACGATGACTATGGTCCGTTCAGTCTACGCCGTTCTTTTCTTCGTGGTGGCTGAACAACATCCTGAAGATCGTGAATCACTCACCAAGAAATTTCAAACATTCCTCAACCGCGCTTCATCATGTCGTCCTCTTCCCCTCGTGCATAGTACAATACCATCCTCCTCTACGCAGATTCCTTCACGACAGATCATCCTGCTCGAAGACTTACCGAATATTCTACACGCAGGCACTGCAGACGCATTCCATGCTGCACTCCAGGATTATCTAGCCTCCCCTCCCAATGTTCCGATTGTTCTTGTAATATCTAATGCCGGAACACGGGGGGAAGACCCCGAAACCGATCTGGCGGGCGGACGGGCCTGGGGACGGTGGCGGAAAGAAGCCATTGATGTGCGCAGCGTTATACCACATACTATCCTCAATTCCCCTTATTTCAGGGAGATCCCGTATGTTCCCCCTACTAACACTCTCCTGACTCTCTTGATGATTTAACTTGCAGGTTCAACCCCATTGCTCCAACAATCCTGCTGAAAGCACTGACTGCCCTCCTTACAAAGCATTTTTCCACCAGTCAGTCCGCCAAGTCAACTAAACCGACTAATGATACCGTGAAAATTATCGTTGATTCCTCTAATGGGGATATTCGGAGTGCAGTTATGGCGTTACAATTTGCATGTATAGCCAGCCTCTCAAAGCGAGGTAAAAATAACAATATGCGGAGAGTGTATGTGCACGGCCGGAAATCTTCCGCACTCACTGACCTATGCGTGCTATGAACTCAGATTGGAGGCTATGACCAGGCGAGAACAAAGTCTTGCGTTGTTCCATATGCTAGGTAAAGTATTATACAATAAACGCAAGTGTCTTCTCTACTGGTAATGGACTACACAGCACTTTGAGCCACTGATCAACCGGGTGAAATTATTACAGGGAAATGTGATCCTGGGAATCACTCCTCTACAGCGAAAGATCGTGAAAGAGAGGAAAAACTGGATGACTCGATCCCAGACCCCCCTCCCCTGCCATTCCATCTTGAGAGACACTTCAGAAGAAGTAGCCGCGTGGACGTGAATGTAGGTGCGTTTAGAATTGTGCTGTGCAGACTTTGATATCCCTCCCCCGGAACTGCAGGTTTTATATGCAGACTCACCTGTCGACACATCTTTATTTGCCTTATATCTACACCACAACTATGCACAATTTTGCAACGAGGTGGATGAGTGCGACGCCGTATGTGACTGGTTAAGTTGGATAGATGCCAGCGGGCCCTTATCGGTTTGCATCGCGTCCTATGCTTTGGGTTGGTTAATTTGACCTTGAACACATGGAACATTCGTAGTCACAAGCACAGCAAAATCCTCATCAATTTCACATCCTTACGCTCGGGGTTCTACATTCCCTGCCTTCCCCTGTGACTCGCCGTTCGCAGAAGATGTTCAAGCCGGAATTTTTTGACGTACTTAAACGAACGCGAGAATCCGAGGGGTGTCTTACAGACACCGAGGAGTGGCTCAACCATGCCATGGTAAATACGGCTGACAGCGGCCGGAGGTGGGCCAAGGATGAAGTCGTATTGGAGCTTGGAGGTGTCTTAAAGGCATTGAATACTTGCGGCGCCGGTATGTCGCGTCTGTTATGTAGCCATGGTGGCGATGTCTGAGCTCTATACAGGTGCTCCACCGCGGAATCACAGCAAATTTACCGAACTTTCGTTCGTACATCCGACCAAACTACCTAGCAACTCGCAACGAATGGAACAACTTGGGGAAAGTGAAGAAGCTACTGGGGAGGCTACAGCTGCTGACATCACGGGATCCACTCATGCTTGGAATAGTCTAACAGAGGATAAGGACGAAGGTGGTTGGTTAGAGAGCGACGATATCCGTGACTTCTAGACTTAGTAAACATAAACTGAGTCTGAAGAGAGAATTGGCCTACTTCTACTGGAAAATACAAATATCGTGCAGACACTTGCTCATTCATCCCGTCCTCAAAATGAGGTGTACACCGCTATCGGTAGTGATGATGTCACTCATTTCCCCCACCTGGAGGGAATATGTTGCATCCTCAAATGGCCTCTGCATTTGACCCTTTCTGAACCATCCAAGATCGCCGTTCTTATCATGAGAGGAGCAGTCCGAGTGCTCCTTCGCCAGTTGAGCAAACTTGGAAGGATCGCCATTGATCTGGCTCGCGTAGCCACGCAGAATCTCGACGGCTTCAGACTGGGAGCGCGTTATGCTGGGCTGAAATATCGGTACACGAGTGAATGGTAGTAGGATGCAACCTTGGAACAGCCCACCTCTTTCCAGCTTGATGGCCTCCTGCTGCCGCGATGCTTTACCAGCAGATGGCTCGCACGAACCTGGTCTGCAGAATGGGAGGCGGGGGCAGATGTGTTTGGAGGGCGTCCGAGATATTGCGATGCACCAGGCAGCTGATGAACCTCGCTCTCCGAGAGCTCAGCCGGTGCCTCCCAGCGAGACTCGCGGGTGGTTGTATTGTAAAAGTAATGGACCCCACGGGAGTTGGACATACGGACTTCCCATGTAGATGACTACATACACATTAGCCTGCTCAGAATACGTCGCAGGAGGCTCACCATAACTGCAGACAGGATGAATGTACCGACGGCGTTACAGTCGGAGTCGGATTGGGAGCAGCCATCTCCGACAGACCCAGAACTTCGGACAGCTGCAGTTATTACGAGAAGAAAGAAACCCTATCTGAACTACATAGTATTACTCAGCAGGATGTGAATCACTGACCCATGCCACCATCCCTGGAACGTTTGAGGGTGCCAAAAAATGCTCATAATATGATTAAAGTACTACAAATTTAACTACGATTTTTTGATGCAAAAGTGAAGCTGTCTTGTAAGACAGGTGGCTATATATGCGGGTGGTACATGCTTTTAGCCCCCTTATGTAGTCATTCAGCCATAAAATAATTGGTAAAAGTTATATTTGACATAATGTGTGTCAAATACATTATATACATGATGCCAGTCTTAGGAAGGTGTTTGGAATTACTATAATATCAGATGTTTACTAATAAAAGTGACATTCCCATAAAACTCCATCTTTAAATAGTGATATCTTTTCTGAAGCTATTCCATTGTTAAAAAGCAATTCTGGGAAATAGTTCTCCATGTTACATGCTAAACAATTAAAGGTCATTTAATAGAATCCATTGTATATGATTTCCTTCTGTTTTGTTACGTATTGAGATTTCCGCTAAGTCGGAACTGGAAAGGACAGCAGCTTCAACTTGTACGTTGCGCCCCCAATGAACTATCGTCCTAAGTATTTCGGAAATGGGTCGGAGGTCAGAAAGTATTGAACTAAGAGTTAGTCGGAACTTGAGTCGCAACTGAGTGTTACGATACGATCCGTCGTAAGGTTGACCGAGGTTGGGAGCGAAACCCGAGGTAAGGTCCGAGGTTACGGGGTGAGGTTTGGATGGGGAAGTCGGAGAGGGACTTGGCTTCAGCTTATGTGCTGCGCCGACCCTACACACGAGTCCCAACTTCGGAGGCAAACGAATAAGAGGCGAGGTTTGGCTTAAGAGGCGAGGCTTAGAAACTAGCTAGGGATTGAAGGGATACGATAGTTGATTTTCAGACTGAGGAGTAGGAATGCATACAAGGGGGGTTACATACGAGCGAGGTTACAAGTCAGGGGCGAACATATTAGTGGAGGTCAGGGCAAGGTCAGGAGGCCGAGGTCAGGGCGAGGTAATATACGAATGATGCGTGATGGGGCTGTAAGGGCAACCCTGGCTAGTTGTGGAGATCACACTACCACACAACTGACAAGGGGAAATCCAAAGTCTGTATAAATGAACAGAGCATACAAGAGAGGGGATTCTCACCTGACAAGGGGAAATCCAAAGAGAAAAGTCTAAGGACCCCCAATGTCAGCGAGCCCGTATTATACTATGCTGCGCAGCCAGGGACAACACTTGGCACCCGCCATCAACCCTGCACCTCCCTGACCCTTGATCGACCCTTGATGTCACCTATTACGCGAGTCGCTTGATTTCCGACACTGTTCCGAGGGTGGAACTCGGAAATTGGAGTGGAACTGGCAAAGCGAACAGAACTGGTGGAAGTTCTCCCAGA